TTTTTTGAAACGTCAGATATTATAACTCGAGCAAAATAATTACATAGTTCGAAGCTACAAGAGCTAAAGATGCAACGAAGCATAAGGAAGGATACAAACTCCTTACTAATCAAAACAAAAGTGAGTAGATTTTGACATTGGCTAAGGCTTAGCTTAGGGACCCATGTTAAATTTCTACTCAACAAAGCAATGAAATCCCAGGAGGGTTCAGAGCCACAGAGCAAAAATAACTAACCACTGCACCCACCAAAGGGACCTAGTTAGTTATCAAAAGCCTACCAAAACAAACAACACAAGCTACAAACAAAACAAGAAGCAAGGAAACTAGATAGAGCTAAACTCTAACCAATCAGCTACTGCAATTCTAACTGTATCTGGCTCGGATCTAAGGGAATTTTGAAACACCCAAAGATTGCGGGTCTTCAACATCCACCAGAGGAGATAACTTGATAATTGAATCCTGTCCTCCATGATGGGTTTGTAATGAGCAGAACATAAAGAAAACCACCAGCTTTTGAAGTGACCTGTATGTTGCTGCAGCCCTTCCCAGGACAATGAAGAAATTTTCCAGATTAGTTTTGCTCTTGAACATCTGAAGAACAAGTGCTCTTGAGTTTCGATTTCTTCCCCACACAACTTGCAGGTACTATCAATCTGTAAGCCCTTTGAGTGTAAATTCTGCAATACTGGTAAGGAGTTGTTGATTGCTCTCCAGAGAAAGTGCTTGATTTTGCTCTTGATTTTGAGTCTCCACATCCTAACTCTGGCTTTCTTTTCTTCCCTTTGATTAGCACTAGATTCAGCAATATCCATTTTTCTCCATTTATTTTCAATGAGCTGGGAGTATGTTGATGAGACTGAGAAGATGCCTTGCTTGCACCAATCCCAAGTCATTTTGTCACTCAGATGAGGATCAAGCCCTTCAATTTTCAGGATGGAAGCAGCTATGGTAGGAGGGAATGCTTTCTCAATTAAACTTCTGTTCTATCTTATTCCAGATTCATCCATAAGATCACTTACAGTTTCAAGTTTTGAATTTTGGCCCTCTTCTTTGAATACCTGCAGGCTGGGGTGATTAGGAACCCAAGGTTGGTCCCAAATTTTTACAGAACACCCATTTCTAATAAGGAATCTGACACCATCCCTGTATTCTTCTTTTATTTTCCACCAGCTAGCCCAAAGCCATGAACTAGTTGTTTTTCTCTTTGCTGTGAGAAAGGATGAGTCAGGGAAGTACTTTTCTTTGAGTATTCTGCTAAGTAAGAGCTGAGGTTGGTTTTGTATTCTCCACATCAGCTTGAAAATAAGAGCTTTGTTGAAAGTGTGTAAGTCATGAAAGTTGAGACCCCCCATTTCCTTAGACAATGTGAGCATTTTCCAAGCCTTCCAATGAATTCCTTTAGAAAAATCATCTTTATTGCTCCACCAGAAGTTGGAGAAGACACTGGCAATTTTCCTGTTGATTGATTGAGGCATCAAGAAGCAGGACATGGTGTAGGTCGGCATTGCTCCAAGCACTGCTTTCAAAAGAATCTCCTTGTCTGCAAAAGAAAGAAGCTTGTTTTTCCAGTTTGTGATTTTCTGAGAGACAGCTTCCAGGACGTAAGAAAAAGTAGCATTTTTTGATTTCCCAATACCAAGGGGGAGTCCCAGGTACTTAGAAGATGTTTGAGGTGATATCCCAATGAGGATCCTGCAAATGTCCTGCTGGATTTCATAGGGAGTGCTTTTACAAAAGAAGATAGATGATTTTTGGAGATTCACTCTTTGTCCTGTGATTTTCTGGTAGTTCTCAAGGATAAGCATAAGAGTGGAGGCATTTTTTATATCTGCTTTGGAGAACATGAGGGTGTCGTCAGCAAAAAATAAATGGGTGATAGTGGGGCAGTGTTTGTTCATCTTGATTCCTTGTAAATTCCCAAAGGCAGTTTCTTTTTTAATCAAGAATGTGAGGATTTCTGTGATGAGGATGAAAAGGTAGGGTGACAGTGGGTCACCCTGTCTTATTCCTCTCTTAGGTTTGATGTAGCCCAAAGCTTCTCCATTGATATTGAAAGAAAACGAGGAAGAGGTTATACAGTTCATAATCCACAACAC